GTGCCAAGACATAAGGGGGCCAGTTCGGGTGAGTCGCGGACGGCCTTTTAATTTATGTGGTTCTGCCTCTCCATCTCATCCTGGCTCTCAAGCTCTTGCGCTCCCCCTCTCTCCCTCTCTCTCTCTCTCTCTCTCTCTCTCTCTCTCTCTCTCTCTCTCTCTCTCTCTGCATGAGCGAGAGAGAGGCAGCGGGAGGCAACAATGGAGAGAGAGACAAAGAGAGCGAGAGAGAAAGAGAGAGAGCGAGAGAGGGAGGGAGAGAGAGAGAGAGAGAGAGAGAGAAAGCGCGAATGATGAAGTTACATTTTCCAAAACCCACCAATATGATAGCATAGCGAGGGTTGCTGCTGCGGTACCGACACGTCAACGAGCGCCACGTCCGCGTTGTAGAACGTGTCGAGCGTGTTCGTCTCGCCAAAGTCCAATCTGTCGAACTCGATTCGCTAAAATGAACCCGATTTTTTATTTTTGCTCTAAAGACGTACAGTCAAATGGACGTTCAGCTGGTCGGTGACCTTTTGCACGTCGTTGGCGGCGAGTTCACGTTGGCGCACATGTTTTTGGACCTAATATAGTGATATATATAGGCACTAGGTGAGGCCCTAGATACCTTTAAATCGATGACGAGCACCACCTGCAGGCGTCGACTCGCCGGGCTCACCCGCTTCTCCGGCACCGGGGAGGGCGGCTGAAAAAGATTTTTTGAGTTTTTTTTAGGACTTTTGGATACCAGAAAAATCTAAAATGATTGCTAGGCTATAGACTAAATAGTTTCCCCATTCCCCGCGCTAACAGTCCAGAACCCAGCCTAAACCGCATAAAAATATCGTGTTACTCCAGTTTTAGTCTTTTTTGGCCATTTTTCATACATTTTTGACTAAAAACAAAACATCCAAAAAAGGTTGTACTTTTTTATCAGCCTTTTATATCTAAAAAGTGTGTAAGATCCGATAAAAAGGCTGAAATTTTATTATAAGACCGCAGAAACTTACTGGGAAAGTTTGGTTTCCCCCAAATTCGGATTTTTTTCTATTACTGTTTCCTATATTTTTTGCCGCACCCTCGAAACGCAACGCGCCGACCGCGCGGTAGATTTATAACGGGCGTAATCGATTACGTTGTAAAAAATTGGGTACGCGTTGCGTATCGCGGCGTATTGATCCATTAACTCTCTCACCTGTCTGCTGGGCCCGCGGGCCGACGACGGATGGGGCTGGCCGGCGGTGGCGAGCGAGACCTAGATTTTCAAAACCTTAAAAAATCCAATCGCGACCACCTCTTGCTCATCGCCCGTCTCGGACATTTCTGGGATTTCGAGAATTTTCGGGGGATTCGGCGCACCTCGGATTAGTGACGGCGCATAGGGTCTGAAAATTGGCGTAATTTTGTTGATGGGTTTCGAGTTAGAGTTTTGAATGCGTGCCATTTAACATCGGCAAAGACGGGGAAAAAGGCGGAGAGAATTGGAAAATATTAAGAAAACCGCGAAAATGTAAAATTCCAGTTGACTTAGCGGTTTTTGCCGGTCTCTCGGATAAAATCCTGTCTAACGCGCAAGTTTTGTGAAATTATTCTTGCAAAAATAATGCTAGGTGGATAATGAAAAATATGATAGGTAGGAGACGTTTACGCGATACAGCGCTAAAGTTCCACGTCGAGTTTTCAAAAAATTCGATCCTAGAAAACAAGTTTTCTACGCTTTAAAAATCGACATTGGTAAGCTGGCCAGTCAACAAAAAACAGGAAAACTTTTGCAGACAACAAGGCAACATAGCATAATTGATTCGGCGCGGTTCTATGCGCCTTTTGGGTCAATTCAGGCACCCTAAAAAGGTTAAACAGCAGGAATTTCAAAGACTTTTTCACAAGTGAAGCCGGAAACCGCTGATTACTCGGTGAGTTCAGTTTCAATTCAATACAACGAATATATCTACTATGCTTTTCTGAGCTTCATTTGAAAATAAGTATGATGGTTATGCAAAACGGCTAGACCGGGAAAGATAAAACGTTTGAAAGCAAGGGCGTTGAAATAAGCGGCAAAACGCTAGAAAATTCAATCATCGCGGGACAGGGTATTAAAAAAAAAAGAGACTTGTGCTTGGCTTATTCTCTAGATATTTAAACTTTTAAAAATTTATAACAAAAACGCAAAATCAAGATAATCCGACACTCTTCTGAAGATCTAGCTCATTCCCGCGAGTTTAAAATAGCATCAAAACGCCGAAACACCAATTTACAGCGGGGCGCCTGGAAATTAACAAAAAAAAGACTCCACCGAAAAAAGCTGGGCAGATCTCTGCTGGATTGTTTGTTGTTTCAGCTTGTGAGGAGAGGGGGAGGCTCACATGCCGGCGCAAACCTGGGAGGGCGCCCCCACGAAGAGTGCACACAGACAGGGTGTACCGAGCAGCGCCTCGTACTCTTGGCACCGGGCCGGGGCGTTTGGGTGGTGGGAACGATAACAAAGTACGGCCAGAAACGTTAATGCTTGTCGTAGGGCTAGCAGAGGCCATTTGGGCAGATTGACCAGTTTTTTTGGGTTTCCCTTAGATTTGAGGGAATCTTGTAAACTACTAGAATTATGAAAAGTTTTAAACTTGCTAGTCCCTTTAAAAGGTTGACCTCGAGGACGTTTTTTTTTGAAGCGACTTGAAAGGCCATTATTTCCGGAAGTGTCAGTCGGGCAATCTAGCAGAGGTCGTTTCGGGAAACATCACGGATTTGAGCTTTTACGATTTTTAAGGAATTTTTCGAAATATCTTAGCAATTTTAGTGGATCGTTTTTAAGGGGACCAGGAAGCCCTAAATCGACCCAGTTCCGCCGCCTGTATCTAGACGACTACGCGACAACTACGCGCGTTGCAAATGACGCCCGAAAAAGTCTTCTGAAGATTTTCAGGTGCATTTTTGGAACACGCGAAGCGGAATCTCTCAACCTCTGAAAAAACCTTTGTCGTCACCTTTAAAGGGACTCAGGCGCTCCTAGAATCGACCCCTTATTTTTGGCTAAGTCTCGACAGCCACATGAAGCTCCAAATGGAGCGTGCTAACGGGTCGAATTGTTGTGCTCGTAAATTGGAATATCGTGTAGCTGTCGAGACCAAGGCCTTGGAAGGTCGATTCGGCACTTTCTGAAAGCATTAAAGAAACCCTACCACGCTTTTTTCCTATAAAACTTTAATTTAGCTAACGTACCTCGCTGGAGTTATCAAAAAAATTGGATTGCTCTTTCGCTGCATTTTAGCTTACTTTATTTCATAATTTATGTTTGAAAGGCTTTTACCGTAGCGGTATTGGCTAGGCGGCAAAGCGCCAGATTTTAGCCTTGATGGTTCCTTTAAAATACGTTTTTCGTTTATTTTGGACATTTAGTGAATTTTTCATTTATGGTTTCAACACTTTCCCACCACCCCAAAATCGGTTTTGACTGCCGAAATTCCCCAGCTAACGGCACAGACTCCATCGACCTATGGTAATTTCGCGTGGAAACCGGGGGGATCGGGGGTAATAATTCCCGTATTTGGACGTCGAGCGCAAGAGTCTCTCTCTTCTCTCTGTTTCTGCTCTTCTTCTCTCTCTCTCTCTCTCTCTCTCCATATCCCTTCGGGCGCTCGGTGCTGCACAACATCGATCCGCCCGCCCCCCATCTAGTCCAACACACCGCCAGACACTTTTATTTGGCTCGTGTTTTCACGCGTTTCACGCGTTTCACGCGTTTTGCAAAGTCTTTTTTGTTCTGTTTTTTTTGTTTGCAAATCATATTGAAAACTGTCACCTTAACAAAGGCTTAAAAATGCTTTTTTGCCGATTTCAGGTGAACGGCTTGGAATTGATTCTGAGCTTTTGCATTTTGAAAATGTTTATTTTACAATGCTACATTCGGAAGAGAGAGAGAGAGAGAGAGAGAGAGAGAGATAGAAGGCAGAGGACATAGAGAGCATGAGAGGAGACAGAGAGAGAGACAGGGAGAGAGAGACAGAGAGAGAGAGAGAGACAGAAAGAGAACCGGAGAACGAGAGAGAAAGAGAGATTGCGTGAGGGAGAGCGCAAGCAAGAGATAGAGAGAGCGCAAAAGAGACAGAGAGATAGAGATAGAAAGCGAGAGACAGCGCGAGAAGGAGAGAGAAAGATAGAGTACCTGTGAGAAAAAGAGTGAGGGACAGAGAGAGAAAGAGAGAGAGAGAGAGAGAGAGAGAGAGAGAGAGAGAGAGAGAGAGAGAGAGAGAGGGAGAGGGAGCGCTAAAAACCTTTGCCCACCTTTTTTCTACACATTTTCTACCGACTTTCGCTTCCTAGAAAAATTACGCTAATTTCCTAGATGCTGCTCTGGGCGCTTTTGGCGACCCTAGCAGCGATTTCAACAGCCGACGACCGCTCGGACTGTATCGACAGCTGCCCGAAACCGGGTGACGATACAGTAATTTTTGTGTTGGTCGGTCCCTTTAAAAGACCAAGCAGTGTGAGAATCGGCCCCCATGCACCTACAGGGTCTAGACAGCTACATGGCACTCTAAATGTGTGAATTGTGATGAGGATCGGCTTGAAAAAGTGCAGCCCGTGCTCCGTCACTAGGACTGCCGCGTAACTCGTCGAGACCTAGTCGGTTGGAAGGGATCGATTCTCCCGCTTCCTAGCGCCTCTTAAAAGAATTTTAAGGGCTCTGGCTGCCGGACAGGTTGCGAGTTACGCGGGAACCTCAGCACCGAAGGGTTCCCCGAATTTTTCATAAAATGCCACCGAGGCTGCGATGCTGCTTTTGAGCCGAAAACCGAAGAAGCACAGGCGGATGGGTGCCATTTTGCATGCCAGCTGCCGAAGACGACCAGGATTTTGGTGGGTTGTCACTCTCTCACTCACTCGCTCTCTCTGTCTCGCCTCTCTTTCTTTCTCCCCCTCTCTCGCTCTCTCGCTCTCACTCTCTCTTTCTCTTTATCTCTGTCTCTCTCTCTGTCTCTCTTTCTCTACCAAAATCTTCTCGGAAAACCGGTGAATTTCTCCAGATGACGGTCGACCTGAAGAAGCCGGGCGACAAGCCGGTCATCAAGTACACGCGGTACACCGGAAAACTCGATTCGGACACGGCGCCAATGAAGCCGCTTGGCTTGGAGCAGGACGTCGATGAGGTATGTGCTTGATTGGTGCGAAAAATTGTTGGTGTTTCGAAAATTCGCAGATTTTACCGAACGATTTCAGGATGAAGATCATCTTGATGGAGCCATGTTGGGGCGCGCGGAGCCGTCCGACTTTGCGAAATATTGGATGCGGTGGGTTGGAGCGAGAGGAGGGGGGGGGGGGGGTGGGGGCGCGGGGGGGGAGAGAGAGAGAGAGAGAGAGAGAGAGAGAGGAGAGAGAGATGGCAAACAGGAAAGTGTGATCGAACGACTTGAGTCTTTCCATTTTCAGAAAGACCCAAGAAATGCGCGAGCAAATGGACGCGATGCTCCAGCGGGCCGGCTTCAAGCCCAGACCTCTTTTCTCAATGCAGGATCCTGGACATGACATCGTAAGTCCTAAGTTCTATCCTTAAAGCCGCGCAAGCGGCAGAATCGACCCCATTTGGTTGGCTATTCTATCGACAGCTACGCGACACTCTAAAACACGCGTATACTCCTCGCTCTAGTTTTTTACTGGAAAACCTGATGGAGCATTGATGCCAAATGCGAGTATTCCCGTGTGTCTTTCTGGAGGCGCGGCTGCCTAGACCAAGTCTATAGGAGGGGTGGATCCCATGGTACTGGAGGTCTTTAAAGGTGTTGAGAAGACGGAAAAGCGAGGTTCCGTGCTGACTGAGCTTTACTTACTGAGCAGAACAGAACCTTGCTGCGACAATCCTAAAACTAAAAAATTCGCCCAGGAAAAATACCTCGGCTAGAACAATTACGGGCTTGTCTTAAAGCTTTGCCGCTCCCCAAAAATCCCTGACAGCTTACCCCTTTACTTAAAAATTTTGACGTTTTTTAGGACGACGACTACGAGCGCCCCCTGCAACGGCAACACGTCGATTTCCCGCGAACAGGTTGGTAACCTGGCAAGCCGTTTTTGACCATTCCGCTGCATGCCAAATTACGTGGTGTGCGTCAATTGTTGTGTTGCGTCTGCAGGGCGACCCGTCGGAAACGTCAACGCGGCCGGGCGAGCGATTCTAGACGTGCAGCCGGTGCACGACGACGGCAGCGACGAGGTGGCCGAGGGTGCGTGGCCTATTCGAGAGCTACTGTACGTCATGCCGCAAGAGGTTGAAGGTACATTCGGGAGCTATTATTTATCGCAGTTCGGCCATTCGGAGAGCAGCTGCACCCAAAAAATACATAGTCATGCCTTGCCGACCCTTTTAAACAGAGGTTTCGTGAGGAGCCGCCTGCATTTCGCTACTTTCCGGCGGCGCCGCTACGCAACGCATCCGCTACGCGCACTAAACTGCCGTCAATCCCGCTTTAAAAGCACCCATAAGCATGCTGATCGTTGTCGTTCCGCTGCTGCGTCATTTGGTGTGGCGTGAAGATATAGACCCAATCGTCGAATATATTCCAAAAAAACCATAATAAAATGCTGATTTACAGACGACGCGCCTTACTACACCCACTCCAGGACATCGACCTATTTGCAGGTAGGTTTTTAGTTTATCTGCCGGTACTGGTTTGTTACCGGGGGGGGAGCAGGGGAAACTAATTTTTCTCCGTAATCTTGCAGCGCCTATCGTAAAAAAGGCTTTTTTATAGAATTTTTCACAGTTTATATGTCAAAAGCTTTAACTTACAACTAATTCTTTTTAACATTTTCCAAATTTGGGCAAGGATGTGAAAATATTTCTGTAACTTTCTCGCAATGAAAAGCTAACATTTCGAAACCTGTTGACTTTTGGTTCAAAAAGAATCAAGATTCACTAAAAAATTTCGGGAATTTTCTTATTATCAAAAATGTTTAAATTTCATTTTTGTAGTCTTCTGGCGACGAAAAGCTTTTAAAAACACTACAAAAACACGTTATTATTAACATTTATCTACAGGCAAAAAAAAACCAGAATCAGCCCCCCCTCCCCCCGCTAACAGTCCATTACCGATTTGTGCGCTAAATTCAACAAAAAAACTTTATGCGTCTTATCGTTTTTCTTATGTAAAAAACCTGCAGATCGCCATCTTCTCCCTATGCATCCTGATCATCATGGCGGCCGTGTCGTTGTTGCTGTCGTTGATCCAGCGCCGCCGGGAGACCATTGACGCATTTGAGCGGGTAAGGGGTACATGATGCGCGGTGTCGATCCGGCGATGGCGTGGCCGATTTTTACGTCGCTTCAATAATCGCTTTGCCTTTACGTCGGCTTTCAGGCAATGCTGCAGTGGCACACTTGCTGGGGTCGTCGTGACGCGCCGGGCGCCGGGACGGCTCCACCGTACGCCGTCGTCGCCAAGGTTGGCTAGAAAAACCCTTCCAAAATTTCCAATTTTCAGCTGCCAAACGACAGCTTCAAGGCGCCACCGTCCGAGGGCGCCCCGCCCGCCTACGACCAGCTGAGCATCCACAAGCCGCTGCACAAGATGGACGACGAGTAACGAGGCGATGTATTTTACTCTTTCCCTGAAATCTATATCTATCCCCCAAAATCTTCAATTCCGCTCTTCGATCTCTTCCGTAAGCTAACTTATCCAACTTCAAATCACGAGAAACGACCCCCGAAAATACTGGTAGCCACCCCCGCCGGATCGTGTGCTGTACGGAACCGCTTACGCCATGCAATGTGCAGGATAAAGGTGTAGAACGTTTACGAGGAGTGACATAGAATAACATATTTATCCGGGCGCCGGGCCCGCCGCCTTACTTTCTTGTTCGCTGGCCCGCAACCGCTTCACCTCGTCCTCGTACGGGAAATGCTGCACGTTCTTCGGCTGGGCGCGCTTGTTCGACTCCCACTGCGAGCGCCCCTTCTTCCGGGTGAGCTTCGGCTTGGCGGGCTGAAAAAAGATGGATTAGGAAGGTTTTATAAGAAAAAACGATACCCTAATTAGGAAAGCCGATTTCAAAAGCCCACAAAAAACTATATTCGAAATTTGCGGATTTAAGCTGGGATAACACGAGTTTTACACGTCGGCCAAAATTTTTAAGGTACTGGGCTGTTAGCAGGGCGAAACTGATTTTTCTTAGTAAGCCCCCACGACCCTACAACAAACTACAAACCATTTTCATAGCATTTTAAGCAGTTTTCGTTATAAAAAAGTCCATAAAAAAGCCTTCAAAATTTTCTAAATTTTTGGATCAGAATTCTCAAAACTATCAAAATACCAAAGGCAAAACCAAATTCAGTCAAACAAAAATAGTAAAAACGTTTTGAAAATACACTATTTATTATTAACAGGCCCCCTGCTAACCGTCCAGTACCATTTAAGCTGGCATATCGCGAGTTTTATGCTTTCGTCGAACTTTCAAAAACAGGGAAATGTTCAGCAACGTCGACGTTTTTAAGTGCCGTTTTCGTATTCATGAAAATTCCTAATACCCAGGAAAGAAAAGTTAAGGTTCTTTCGCATTAGGGTGGGGGGGACGACCGGACCGGATTTTGTTGATAAACCCAGAAATGCCTAGTAACGATGTAGCAAAAAAAGTGCTAAGTGCAAAAAAACACATCAAAAAACGTGGCAAAATTTTGTTGAAAAGTTGACATTTTAGTCGAAAAGAAAATTTCTGGCTATCAAAAGTCCTTTTTGCTTTGTGAATGGTAAGAACAGCTTAGAAACACATTAGAAACAGCCTAGTTTAGAACTTTTCCAAACGCGAAAAATTAGAGCGAAGGAAAAGTTCCCCCCCCCCGATAACGCGAAAGCTCCAAGACCACAAGCTCAAAAAAAACCCACAATATCTTCTGACACGGTGGCAAAAGCCGACGTGGGCTCATCGGAAGACTGCATGCTGAGGCATTGGTGCTCGGGCGGGAAGGGTTGGGTGGAGACGAGGATGAACATCACTCTCTCATCGATTCTGACGCGTAATCGGTCGAGCCCGTCGATCGTCGGGTCCCAGTAGGTGGTCTTCCTGCCGTATCCGAGGGCATTCCATTGGTAGAGCCGTCGTTGGGTGCGCCGCTTCAACACCTCCACACAGGCCACCGCTTTCTCGGCCGAGTCGCCGGCTCCCTGAAAAAAATCGTTATATGACGCAAAATCCGGAACAAAAAGATTTTAATCTTTTCCTATACGCCCGGACATTCTTCATAGAAAGTGGCTTAATAGTATTTTTTTTTGTCGAAACTAGATACATTTAAAGTGAAAAACAACCGAAAACTTGGAAAGTGCTGATATTATGGTATCAACCAATTTTTTTTGGAGTTTGTAATGAAAATCTTTAAAATTCTGAGGCCTAGAAATAGCAGGAAATTATCTAGAAACTCTTCCACTACTTATATTAAAAATCAAAATCCGAAGCTATCAAACCTAATTAAAAACCCTGGTAACCCTTGGACTAAAGAACTGCTAAAAATTCCGAATTGCTCAGAAATAAAAAAAAAACTTCGATACCTTGAAGAGAAGCAATGGCTCCTGCTCGAGCTGCTTCAGCGAGTAGTCGACAAAATTCCCAACTCTCGTGTTCGGCTTCAGCTCCATGACGCGTGCCGTCTGGTAGGGCTCGGGGAACGGGTTCGGCGCGTCCAGCGTTGAGGCGTCCAATTCAGAGGGCACGTAGTGCTCCATTGATGAGCCTGGAAAGGAGGGTTTAGGCAGAAAGGAAAAAAATATCAATAGAATTAGAAACTGGCCACTAGAGCAGCGACAAACAAGTAAAGAGCATGGAGAGGGCAATGAAAAAGCACCCCGCAAAATCCATATTATGCTCGAAGCATTTTCACTTCAAAGCTTGGATAAAAACCGCTATAGATATTCAATCTTGTATTTTCAAAAATTAAATAAATTACGCGATCCATCCCGCAGATGGCCAGAGGGGTAGTTTGTAGCCAAAACCATGCGAGCGCCGGCATTTTCGTGGCTTCAAATTCAGAAAATCCAACCTTCTCGTTTTCTATCACAATTCCGATTCAATTCTAAATTTTTTTTTTTGCATCCGAAGATGTCGAGCGGATTTGTCTCGCAAAACGACATTGAAAAAGAACGCGAAGACCGCCAAGCCGAATGGGAGAAGGTGCGCAAGCCCGACGAGCCTATATGTAAGTTTTGTGTCGTTTTTATGGGGGATTTACGTATTTGGCAGCAAATTAATGAAATTGCAGTGGCCCCGGAGCCTGAAGCATGCAACAAGTCCCTCTTCGAGCAGCTGAAAGACAACCGCGACAAGAAACAAGCCGAATTTGACGAGGCTCGCGCAATGCGTATGGCTTTAGGTGATTTTCAATAATTTTGTTTAGGGAACATGATACGCGGCGTCGACGAGGATGAATCCGAATTCTTGGCGCAGGTGGATCAGAGGAAGTTGGACGAAGCAAGACGACGGAAGCAGGTTCGTGCCTTCCGCAAGACGTTGACGCGTTTTAGGAGGAGAAAGAGATGATTGCCGCCTTGGCCAATAATGTGATTCCGGCCGTCGAGCCCGTGCTGCTGCGGCCACCACCGCCCGCCGCGAAACCCGCCGTCAACCAGCAAGCCAAGCTAGTCAGCTCGTTGATCAAAAGAAAGAGGTATGACAATTTGCCCGGCGAATTAGGCGCTTTAGTGAAACCAGCAGCGAGCCGGTGCGCGCAGCCAAGGTCCCGAAAGAAGAGATGGTGGATGCGAAAGGAGCTTCCGGAGAGGTATGGCTAGGTTCCGTTCTTTTGAAAGCAATTACAGGCTAAGAATCAGACGCCGGCCGTTCCAAGTTTACTTCAATATGCCGATTATTCGTGAGTGAGCGCTTCGATCCCTCAACGATTTTTTAGCGATTCCGAAAGCGAGGGAGATCCAGAATGAGCGCGAGGTAAAAGGCGATCGACGGGTAACCAAATGGGTATGGAAAGCTGGCTATCAAAATACTGGGAAAATTTCACTTTACGGTATGGTCCCAAAATGTCGATTTTTCGACTGGAATCGTCCACTCGATGAGTTTGTGGTTTCCAGTTGAAAACTATTGGGAAAGGCTTCTGGACAAAGTTATAAGCTTTTGAAAATCGCTAGTTCACTTTACGGTATGTGAACAAAACCTCAATTTTTGAACAGGAAACGATAAAGCTCGATGAGATAAAGCGTTTTCAGTTGAAAAAACAATTGGGAAATTTCAAATAAGAAAGTTATGACGTTTCAAAGATATTTTTGCTAAGGACTGTAGGCTACGCAACACTCCTATCCCCGCATTCTAGCGCTGCCCTCTCAGCCACGCTTACGTACTATCTAAAAGCATTTAGAATTTTTAAAACTAGTATTTTAAGCATAGAATAAATAAATAACAGTTAGTTGTGGCCTCCAACATTGTCAGGCAAGGCGGGCCGTCGCTTCGGATGGGCTGCCGCTCCAACTCTTCCGAAATCGGGGCGCCTGGGCGCTGCGCGCTCCTCGGGCGCCCCGATTTCGAAACCCTGTACGAGCTCGCACCCATCCGAAGCGACTAGGCCCCGGGTGGCACGAAGCCTTATTTTTAGGCTTAAATTGGGTATTCAGCTAGCAATCCCCTTTAAAAAGTCTAATATTTTGGTCAATTTTCAAAAGCTAATAACTTTGTCCAGAAGCGTTTCCCAATCGTTTTTTCAACTGGAAACGCACAAACTCATCGAGCTGGATCGATTCCAGTCGAAAAATCGACATTTTGGGACCATACCGTAAAGTGAAATTTAGCCAAAATACTATTCGAATAAATTATCTCAACTCGCGAAGTGCGCTGTGTTGAATGCACCCAGAAAAATGAGCGGGTTGAGGGCAACTCTGATGCCAATACTTTCGTACAGCCGCGACGACTTTTGCAATATATACTCGTGTGTTCTGCGTAAAACATTCGCCCGCAAAATCGGCAAAGAACTTTATTACCAACAAAACAATAACAATGTGGTTACGCTTATTGGCCCTCCGTCGGCATGCTGCGGATGATGTCGGAATCTCCTGGATCAGTGATGGCGAGGGTGGCGACGCGGAAGAGCTTGCCGCAGGCGGTGCCCAGCTCGATGTTGTTTCCGTTGTAGTGGTGCACGCCGGTCTTCGCCAACATCGCGTAGTACTCGATCTCCGAGCGCCTGAAAAGAAATAGTTAGCAACAGAATACATAAAACTAATTTTGCGCGCTCTTTCCGAATTTTGTATGCGAAAACGTAAGGTTTCTGAAGCTGGTATGGTGTTTTTCGGAACCAGCACGCAAAACTATCCAAGACAACATCGCACAAACACCAGTTTTGATACAATCAATGTGGGTTTGGTGCTCCCAACATCAATAGGTCCGCCATTTTTTGAACGGCAAATGCGCAAAACCAGGAAAGGGCATCAAATTCAAACGATACCTGAGTGGCGGGGTGTTGTTGGCGATCAGGATGAGCTGGGCCTTGCCGTTGCGCAGGTTCTTGAGAGTCTCCTTGTGGCCGAGCACGTACTTTCCAGACTTCATCACCATCGTGAGGCGCGAGTTGATGTTCTCGGCATTCTTCTTCTAAAAAGAAAGAATTAAGCTGGTCAAGCAGCGTGGTAACCGCGTACCGACAACCGGCGAGTCCATGGACCGAGTAGGAGCAACTCCTTCTCGGCACAGACTCCGGGTAAGCCCAAAGCGGGCACTACCCATCTCGGTCTGGCTCCAGAGCTTTCCTACTCACCTGCTTCTTGACGGGGGCCGCGGCGGGGGCTTCAGCTGCTTTCGGGGCCATTGCTCGGTGCTGAGTTTACCTGAAAACAGCAAATTAATTAGAGAAGGATGCTTGCGGAAAACGAAAAAATCGAAAATGAAAGCTAGGGATAATTGGAGCCGGGATAACAAGAGAATTACAGCAAGTGCCGGCCAATTTAAAGTTTGGAATGGGGTGGTAAAAATCCTAGAGAACCGCAATTTCTGCGCTGAAAACCGAAATATCTTGAAAGAAAAGTGCGTGATCGATGGGACACAGCAGATTTTGCAGGGATTTAGTTTCAGGAAAGCGTTATTGTGAAAAGGCGCGCAACGGCAATAAATGTGTCAAAGTATACGGAAACGAAAGGAGCAGCAAAAAAGCGCGAAGAAAATAGACCGACAAGTAGGGTGGAATTTGGGGGAGAAAATTCTGCGGGGGCCGGGCGCTGTGGGGCCAGGGCAAGCCATGGGATACGGTGGAAAGGGCACAGGACGACGGGCAACCCCGGGGAGGGGCTTCCCATCCGACCTTCCAAAAAACAACAAAAACCGCATAAAATAAATATTGAAAAAATCTACATACCAAATTTACAAAAACTAGAAAGCGCCTGGAATGAAAAAAATATACGCCACTTATTTCCTACCTTCTCCAAACGTAATTCGGCTTATTGCTTCCGCTTATGAACGCGCTTCTCGACCCGCCGGCCAACGGTAGGGCTTCTGAAGCCGGCGATCATTTGCGGAGCTGCAGTGCGCGAATGGGCGTGCGTCGGCGCCGCCGTGGCGGCCATCTCGTTCTACTTGAGCTTCGGCGTTTACGCTAGGCAGTGCTGCGAGGTTTGAAATTTCGAAGACTATTGGACCTGCGTTAAAACAGCGAGCCCCGAGTCGTGTTTTGACTTTATTTTAGTTGATCACAATCGTCCCTTCGATTCTACTCACCCTACGGGCCGTCAAGCATCTGCACCATCCGTCGATCAGGGTACCAAACAACGGCTTGCAAATACTTTATCTTTTTTAGAAGTTGATCCAATGGTGCTGGGCTGGCAAGGCGTTGTTCTTCGCCGCGAACCCCCTTCTCGGGCACATTCTCGGCTATTATCTGGTTCAGGCGGTGCGTTTTTGTTTGGTACTGGACTGTAGGCAGGGGAAACTTCTAGAAATACACGAAATTTTTTGATGTTTGGTCAAAAGTGTATGTAAAATTACCAAAAAAGAACGAAATTTTCGTAATTTTCCCCCTCCGCCTGCTAACGGTCCAGTACCCGTTTTTTTTCATGGCGTGTGCCATCACCGAATTCCTTTCCAGATCCACCTCTGCCCCCTGCTGTTCTACATCTCGCTGCGGCTGCGTGAGCTCGATCAGCGTGACGAACGTGCCGAACTCGCTGCTCAGCCATCGCCATCGGTAGCCTGCTTTGGGTTTTCTGTAATGATATTATCCAGACCCGTCAACCGGTTGCCCCCCGCCCTTCCGACTCTGTCGTTGACCGGGACACGCGCGAGATCACGCTGTCGACGGCCGATCGGTGCAGCGCCGTCGAGAGCGCCAAGATCGTAATTTTGTCTTTTGCTATTCCATGAATTCTATTTGTAGTTCTCCCACCCGCCGGATATTTCGGGCTCGGCCGTCTCGTTGAAAGACTTTGGCGGTCATATGGCCGACCTCCGCCAGGACGGCTACTACCAGCGACCGACACGCGCCGACGACGACGAATGCAGCTCGCTGGGCATTCAGGCGGGTTTTTTTGAGCGTTGCCGGGTTCTATTCGTATCCTTTAGACGGCGGGTCCATGGGGCGACTCCATCTACGAGCGCTATCAGCCCCGTGTCCACGATATTGTCATCAACCAGATTGTGCTCCAGGAACGTCTGCAGGTTTTTGGTGGTTTTTGCGCTCAATAGCAAGATTTCCTAGATTCGCGTCAACAATTTTCACCCGTCGCCCCACATTATCCGCGTCTTCAATACGCTCAACGTGCCCGTGATGTATAAAGTGAAAGGTAAGCATTTCCCCCCCCCCCCCCCCCCCCCCCCCCCCCCCCCCCCCCCCCCCCCCCCCCCCCCCCCCTTGTCCCCCCTTTGCTGTAAAATCTGGAGCACGAGAAGGATTCGGGTTAATGTTCTAATTTTAGTGAACAACAGCCCGGGCCTCTCGACGTCGCCAACCCACGGGATTGTGGAAGCCGGGAGAAGTGGCGAGGTGAGGCCCGCTTTTTCGACCGATAAATTGTTGCACAGGAGAGAGCTTTTGTAGATGCGTTCCAGAAAAGGAAATAATTTTACGGAAACATTTAAAATCTCGTTTCGTTCAGATTGACCTGTCGCTGCCGGTGTCTCCCGGGAATTGCCGTCTCGCCGTCGACGTGTTGCCCACCGAGCCGGGCAAGCCGTTCGATGCCGAAGCGTTCCACCAGACGACGCCGCTCCGCTACCCCGTCAACATTGTCGTCGAATAGCACGATTTTTCGAACGCTTCCCATTTCGGGTGTCGCCCTCCAATAAACGAATTTATTTTGAATATGTTGAAGCGTTGAAAGGCGTTCTTGTGACGTGAGTCGCATGGATTTCGTTCTTCTGGTTATCAAAAATTATAACATCTACGTTAAGCTTTCACTTTTTGTTCGAAATGTATGTAAAAGTTAATAGACATTCGAGATTTCTTTATTTTCGAATGAGTAGAATAGTTTTTATAACTTTCTGGTAATCAAAAACTATTAAAAACCCCATCAAAATACGTTGTATACTATTAGCAGGTAGGCGTAGGTGGAAAAAGACAAGGTGCTTTCCCCCCGCTAACGGTCCAGTACCCAAATAGTATTTTGGTGCTTGCGTATTATAGGGGGCGGGGAGATTAGACACCTCCAAAATTTGGTAAGATCTAGACCATGAGCGGAGCCCTGATAAAAATTCCCCAAATTTCGGGAAAACGGTTGTCACCAGGGGCTACGAGGCTAGAGTTTTTATCTGTTTCCCGGCTCGGTATCGTCTTCTCTGCGTCCTCTCCACTCCACCTTCTCCCTTGCAAAATTGGCCCCGAAAAACTGGCATAACAAGGGCGCAAAGATTGCCTCGCTGCCTGCATTGTCAGCGTTTTTTCGTTTTTTTTTCCGTGTTTTCATCGTTTCCAGGGCTCTCCGCAATATTCTCGAAAGTTAATTGCATCACCTTCTTTTCTTTGTATATAAGAAGCAAGGCGGAGTTTGTACGATTTGTTCCGAAGAACTTTCACTTACTATTTCATACTATCTTGTTCGCTGACCCGTGCTCTCTCTCTCACTCTCCTTTCTCTCTCTCCTCTCTCTTTCTCACTCGTTCTGGTGCTTCCTGGTTATCGGGGTCGGTTGGCATCTTCTTTGTTTAGCCTATACCTGCCGAGTGATAAATTGTAGTTTATTTTAATACTGTTTTTAGTAGCTTCCGATAATCAAAATTATAAAATATTTATCCTATAGTCACGAAATCTAGGTTATAGCGCGGTTTTAGCCATTTTCATATACGTTAGACCGAAAAGGAATTTTTTCAACATGTTTTATGACGTTTTTCTTATGTCTCCTCCCCGCTAACAGTCCAGACCATTTCAAACGGCGCACAAGTCTATAAAACGGCCAGTTTTTAATTAGCCGAGCCGCACGATATTATGAAAAAGTTCGCAACCGACCCCCCACTAAAATAACCGACCCCCGATAACCAGGAGCCCCCGTTGCTTTTCTGATGATTTTTTAGTTTCCTCTTTGCATCTTTACGTGTTTTTCTTAGCGTTCGCCTACACTACCATCCAAATGGCACTTCCCTTGGCAGGGCAATACGCGTTGGTGACCGGCGCCAGCCGTGGCATTGGAAGGGGTAAAATCTTACCCCAACGTTGATATTTTGAGATCCCTAGTAATAATACGTAGGTGTCGATGCCTAGTCGACCGGAGGGTCCATTGGGGCCATGGGTTCCTAGCTCCTTTAAAAGCATATTACTTGGGTGTAATATCGAAAAACGTAGGCATCGCACTGCAGCTGGCCCAAGCCGGCGCTACCGTATACATCACCGGGCGGGAGCCGGCAAAAAGTGATACGACCGTCGAAACGACGCTCCCTGCGCTTCAGCAGACTGCTCGAGGTGGGCGGGGCTTCCCAAGGGATCACTGCTACTTCTTTCCCCCTCTCTCCCCCTCCCTCTCTCTCCCCCCCCCCCTCTCCGCTTTCTCTCTCTCACTCTCTTTTTATATCAATTCGCAAGCGTATGAGAGTTATAGAAAATCGAGCGAAAAGCGTCAGAAAAAGGGAAAAAAGAGAAGCGAGAGAGAGAGAGAGAGAGAGAGACAGAAAGAGCGAGATCGAGAGAGAGAGAGAGAGAGCATTGAGTCTCATTCCTCAAATTCACCCTGCTAGCCTGCCTTCAGATATCGAAGACCGTGGCGGCAAGGCAGTGGCCGTCTACTGTGACCACAGCAACGATGACGACATCAAAAGGTATCCAATCGAGTTAATCCGTATTGTCCGGTTTCCAGGCTGTTCGATCAGATCGAAAATGAGACGGCCGGCTGTCTGGACATTCTGGTGAACAATGCCTACTCGGCCATTCAGGTGTGCGCTTTACGGGCCTTTCAGGTTCAGGTATCCAGCGCGTTAGGGGCAGGCTAGCAGGGTTAATTTGTGGAAATGCCGGTGGTGCACGGAACAAATCAAAATTTTATGCAAAATCTTCTGTTAGAAATGTCGACATTTCCATTTCGGCATTTTGAGCGTCAAAGTACGAAAATAAGCCGGGCAGGACAGCGTTAGCAAATCGCACCGTCCATTAAACGGATCTGAACTGTTAGCGGGGGGATTTTGAGCGAGGGAGAAACCAAATATTCCCCTGTGATATCACTACGGTCCCATAACAAAATATAAGTCATTTTTATGGTATTTTACATAGTTTTTAGATATAAAAACAATCGAAAAACTAAAATAAATTTTCGAAAATCTTTGACTTTTTGATGAAAAATGTATGAAAATGATCAAAAAGGTAAAAATGTTTGAATTTTTCAAACTAAATTTTTTTATGACTTTCTAGCAATGAAAACCTACTAAAAACACGAGAAAAATACATTTTGTATGGTCAACAGGCAAGTATAGGTAGAAAAACGGAAATGGGTATTCCCCCCTGATAACCCCCCGCTAACAGACCAGCACCCGAATTCGCCGATGTTTCTGCCGGCATGTAATCAATAGTCTTTTTAGCGGTTCAGCGTGTTACGCGTATTTGTGCGATACCAGACTCCCCATTGCAGGACTTCCGCAAGGCGAGCGGGGCCCCGTTTTTCGAGCTGGAGCCCGAGTTCTGGGATTCGGTGAACAGCGTCGGGCTACGCAACAACTATGTTTGTGCCGTGTACGCGGCGCGGATGATGGTCAAGCGGAAGTTGGTGTTTCGGCTGGTTTTGGTGAACTTTTATTCTAAAAATTGGCACACACAGTGAGATCAACTAGGGCTGCTTATTTATAGTATGAGTTTTTGGAACAAAAGAGAAAATTTTTGGACCAGGCTGTTCTTTTTAGTCGTTCTGGGATTTCTCTAAAATCACCGCTAGGATTTGCTTTTTTTTCCAGGACCGGTCTGATCGTGAACATTTCGTCGGCGGGCGGGCTGCAGTACGTCTTCAACGTGGCATATGGAGTCGGCAAGTGCGCGGTAGGTGCACTCCTGGTTCTTCAAAGTGACGCTATGTTCTATCCGATAGCTAGAGATCGGCAGTTCTTTCGGCACTGGGCTGTTAGCGGGGGAGGGGGAATTTTTAGCAGGGAAAGCTAATTTTAATTTTTGCCTTTTTTCCGCGTCGATTCGACTTTTATGAATTTTTCTAAATCTTTCGTAGTTTTTGATGGCTAGAAGGTTACAAGCAATATTTTGGGATTTCCAAAAATTCGAAATTGTGACCTTTTTGCTCAGCTTTCGTACATTTTTTAATATAAAAAGACGAAAATCCGAACCTTTTAGGTAGATCGAATGTCGGCCGACATGGCCGTCGAGCTGAAGCCGTACAATGTGACCTGCGTTACCGTGTGGCCCGGTACGGTTAGGTGAGGATCCGATCCTGAGGGGCGATGAGCTGTTAATCCCGAATAATTTTGAGCGGAACTTGGTCATTTCTAGGACCGAAATGGCGCAACTGATGCAGCAGCGGGACGAGATTGCCACCGTGCTGAAAATCGACAAAGCTCTGGCGGACAAGCAGGTGGCGACGGCCGAATCGCCAGAATTCTCCGGGCTCGGCATCGTCGCCCTGGCCAGGGATCAAAGGGCAAGTGATTGGGCGCTTCACTAGGGGCAAACCAGCAAAGACTTTTGGGGTGAGAGCACTTGTTAGCCTGGGTCATTTGAAGTGTCACGTAGCTGGCGACAGCCAGTCGACAAAATGAAACAAAAACAAACCAAAAAACCCCCAAAAACAAAAAACCCCCAAACCAAAACCCCCACAAAAAACCCCCAAAAAACCTTTTTTTTTTTTTTTTTTTTTTTTTTTTTTTTTTTTTTTTTTTTTTTTTTTTTTTTTTTTTTTTTTTTTTTTTTTTTTTTTTTTCTTTTTTTTTTTTTTTTTTTTTTTTTTTTTTTTTTTTTTTTTTTTTTTTTTTCTTTTTTTTTTTTTTTTTTTTTTAATTTTTTACCCTTTTTTTATTTCCCTTTCCCCCTTTTTTCCCTTTCCTTTTTATTTTTTTTTTTCTCCCTTTCCCTAAAATAAAATATTTTAAAAAATTTTTAAAAATTTTTTTTTAAAAAAAAAAAAAACCCTTTTTTTTTTCCCCCCCCCCAAAAAAAAAAAAAAAAAAAAAAATAAAATATTTTTTTTTTTTTTTTTTTTTTTTTTTTTTTTCCCCTTTTCTCTTTTTTTTTTTCCCCTTCCCTTTTTTTTTTTTTTTTTTTGTTTTTGTTTTTGTGCTTTTTTTTCCCCTTCCCCCCCTTTTTTTTTTTTCCCCCCCCCCCCCCTCGGTCGATTCTGGAGTGATTAAAAGGGCAGAAAAATGCCAAAATTGCGCCAATCTTTTTTTTCTATCAGTTTAGAAATGTCTAGTAACTCGACAGTAAGTGTTTTAATCGTGTTTTTAGGAAACAAAAACCCCGTTTCAGCTAGAAAAACTTTCAAACTTTTTCAAAACGTCGAAATTTTGGTCGAAAATCGATAGTTTTTTTATTTTCTAACAATACTATGTAAAGTTTTGACGTTTAGGAATAGTAAAAAACAGTCTAGAAACACTTTCGCTATTTATATTTGAAAAGCTGGATCCTCTGAAAAAAATTTGATTTCCCCGCCCGTGCTAAACTCCCGATAATGCGAAGCAACCAATGTTTTTCATGTTTCAGAAGCTTCGCAAATCCGGCAAAATCTTGCTGACCTACGATCTGGCCCGGGAGTATGGCTTTAAGGATATTGACGGTATGCCAAATTTTATATCCAACCAAGATCAAGTTTTTACGATTATT